ATTTAGTTTTCATGTTTCTTTGACCTTCAAGGATACATGCCTGAAAATGTCTTCTATTTTAATCTCCTATCTGAATGGCAGGCCAGTAGGGGTCTTGTATAGGAAATATTTGTGTTCTAGTAGAAACCAGTTGTTCCCCTGGCTGCCTGTCTTTTGAGCTTCCAAAATTAAGATAATATCTGTCTTTATATGTAGTAGCAGCTTGTAATACTACCTGTCTCTCATTAGAAATCAATGTTTGATTTAAGAGCAACATTACATCTTTTTAATCTAGTCCATAGGTATGAGTAAGTCCCCTGAAGACCTTAATGTAAATATTAGTGTCATCTGAAAACTTTCTTAGGTCTCATTTGATCTGTCTTAGATAACTGAGATTAAAAGACACATGAACACAGGTAGTTCTATATTTGCCATTTGCTTCCTGCAAGAGATGATGTCTTTGGGGGACCCGAACAACTTTGCTAAGTATAAACATAGCCTCCTAGAGATTAATTATGGCTGGTCTAGAAACTCCACCCTCAGCACCTGGTGGTTAGGGTTAAAGTTGTCTTGGAAACTTTGTTCTCAGGTTCTAAGGGTCTAGGAGTAGCCTCAGGCTTAGAGGTACTGAATGTATTAAGGGTGAAGTTTCTCATTTTTCTATGGCCCATATTTACATTTGAACACAAGCAATAATTACTTCTTAGTGTAAAGATAATCTCAATATAAGATGATTTTGACCATTTTCTCTCTTTTACAGTATAATTCTCATTGTGAGATAGCATCATAGTGCTTTCTTCTGTGTACTTGGCTTTAGGAGGTAGGCACACCATGCATGTGGGTAGATAATACTAAATTGATACTTAATGTGTTCCAAAGGTGTAAGAGGTTCAGATAGGGAGTTCCTAATCTGAAACAAGAGAAACAAACATGGTGTCCCATAAGTCTCTGCTTGATTCCTGTGCCCCCCCCCCCCGGGCATCTCCAGGCCATCCCCCAAGGTTTATTCCACTTCAGGGTAGATAGCAACCATCTGGAGAGAGAACCAGAAAATAAAACTGGACTAGACTATCTACCCTTTACCAGCACACGATCTTATCATCCTCAGGGAACTCATATCCTACTCCAGTAGTTACTCTCAAAGCACAAGTTACAATTGACTTTAGCCTTAACAAGTACGTTTAGAGAAGGAAGTATTTCTAGCAAAGGAAGAGATTTAAACCACTGCTTTTTAGTTCCTTGAAAAAGAGGAAAATAGGTCAACAGTCAAATTAGGGCACTTTTCCTGCTAAAGAGATTAACTCCAGAGATGGTAAGTCAGAGATTCTGCCCTGGGCCCTAGGGCAGAGAAAGCTCTGAGATATTTTTGTTGTCTATTGAGTCATTTAGGCAACTTTTATTAGCAGCAAGACCAGGCTACTCCTTTAGGGTCTATTTATATTCACTAAGTACTTGAAACTCATAGGTCTTCCTAGCAGCCACAGTCCACATTAGTAAAGGCACCTTTATCAACTTCTTAAGTGCACGCATGAAGGAAGAGAAAGGCTGACCAAAATAGTTCCACATTCTAGCTAACATGTAAAAACACAAATGCAAGTTACTGATTGTTATTTTCCCTAGTATAAGACAAAAACAGGTGTTACAAGTTGCCTTAGTCTGATGTTCTGGAAGGAGGAGTGGTCTGACTACAATGGATTCTCAAATGAATTCCCAAACAATTTGGAAAAAAAATTTAAGGGGAGTTTTTAACTCACTAGCAGAGAGAAAAAGTCCAAATAAAGATCAAGCTGGTTAAACATCCAAAAATCACCACATAGCACTCTATAAATCCACAACCTATCAGCAAAGGTATTTTTTTCTATACACATAAATGATGAAGACCATGCCTGAGGGGAGAAAAGGTTCAGGTAGCTTTTAATCTATCAAAGGTTCGGTTAATTTTACATTTGTCTAGAGGTCTGTCTTATTAGTAGTAGAGAAATAAACCCAAACCTGTAGCTCAACTCTCAATGGAGGCTTGAGAAAGGGCTCTGATAGCATTGTTTTAGATCACTCTGAGATGTAAGATATCTGATCACTGACACAGTTCCCCTTTCACCTCACTGAGGAGTCCAGATAGGGACAAGGTGTGGAGATTTTCTGCTGATTACCCAGATGGGCTGTTGGGAGCTAGTTTCTTCTGAGGGACCTTTGGGTATCCTCTAGAGAGTAGCCCTGGCCATGACCCCTCAGTCATCACCTCAGTTTCTGCTGGTTCCAGGCAATCAGAGATCTGACTCTGAAAGGAACCCAGTTGCCTAACTGGTCAACTTTCCACCCCCCACTGGCATCAATGGGAGTGGGGATTCACCAGAGGGCAACAGGAGAAATCTGTCCTCTGTTTTGAGAGTGACAGCTGCCCTAAAGGCAGTTACTATCTGGAAGAGTAACCACTGTCTGGCATTCTATAAGGGACAGATAAAAGCCTGAACTCTCTTTATTTAAGACAGTTTCATGAGACACTCATTGTACAGCATTTTAAAGCAACAAAGTCCAAATGCAACACATACAAAACAAGAATAAAATGTAATTTTAACAAAAGACAATGCATAAGAAAAGTAAGAAATTTGCAAACATTCAAAACACACAATTTAAGATACTTTTGAAACAAAACCCAAAACAAAGGCCAGAATCAATGAAACAAATAGCCGGAGCCTATGAAATGAAAAGTAACCATCTCTGAAGCAAAAAGACCAAAGTTAGAACCTATGAAAGAAAACTCTTACCTCCAACCAGTAATCTTGGTGGAAGACCTCCAACATGATATAGGGGGAAGAGATGTAACTCCCAAACCTATTAGATATCTGAACATGAGTTTGTGTTCTCTAAAATCAAAGAACGAATTCTAGGAACAATGGAGGTTAAGAGTAGGAAAAAATTATTGGAGAAAGATAGCTTCTGTCTAAGAGAGACAGAAGGGCAACTGGAAAGTGGGTTGCCCCTATTATTATAATTTTTATGTAAATGTAAATATTTTGTAAAATAAAATGGTCCAGTGTCAAGTGAATCAATATAAAATTTTCATAATATTTCTTAATGAAAATTAAGTAGTATTGAATTAGAAAAATTTATAAATAACACTAAAAGTACTCAATAGCCACATTTGACAAATGGCAATGCTACTATATATTCAGCACAGATGTTGAACAGAACCTGTTGTCACAAAAATTTGTATCAATTCCTGTTGCTGTTCTGAATAATTTATTTTATATTTATTGCTTTTCTACTACAGGTGTACATTTTATCAACTTCTACTATCTTCTTATTACCTACTATCTATCATCTCTCATCTATTTTCATTTTTTCTGCTTTTTTGAGGTTTACATGGTTTGAATTTTTTTTTTTTTTTTGGTACCAGGGCTTGAACTTGGGAACTTAGCTGGTGAGGCAGGCGGGGGACCACTGAGCTAAATCCCTGGCCCTAGGGTTTGAATTTTTCCTCTTCTTGTAAAATAAGAATAGACTAATGGTCCTAAGCCTTCTTTAAAAATTATGTACAGCTAAATATTTAAGCAATAAACATTTAAACCCTTAAATTTAATTATATTACAATCTGTGCTATTTTTATTTCTATTTAATTCAAAATTTGTTCAGATTTCTATTTGCTCTTCTTTTGATTTGGTTGAAAGTTGTCAACTTTTTTACTTGGAAACCTGTATACATTTTATGAAGCATAGTTATAGTTTTCTAAAAGAATGGATATCAGTTTTTAATTTTCTCATATAATTGTTTTTTGGATACTTTATGCAGTTCCAGTTTTATGACTTCAATCATTCCTTTCTGTCTAGTGTATCGTATTTGATAGTTTCTCTCAGATTTTGATTATCTAAAATATTTTATCCTGCTTTCTTTTTGAAGTACATTTTTATTGAATATACAATTTTAGGTTGATAACCCCTTTCTTTTTATTAGTTCCTTTCAACAGCATATTACATATGCCATTCTGTCTGTTGTCTCCAATGCTTTTAGTTTAAAAAATCAGATGTCAATTTTATGATTATTTTCTTTTAAAAGTAGAGGATCTTTGGCTACTTTAAGATTTTCTGCTTAGCTTAGCCTTCTAGTGTGGAGATCTGATGTGGTTTTTCTGCTCTTCATCCTGCTTAGAGTATGGGAAGCTTAATCAATGGGTTAATTAAATTTTTTGTCTTTTTTGGAAAAATTTTTGCCTTTCTCACTTAAAATATTGTTTTGCCCCAATTATATCTCTTATCTCTTTCTGCGACTGTAATTTCATATATATTTAACCATTCAACTTGCATATTTACTCTGTTTTTTATCTCCCTTACCCCATGCTTCAATTGCTTTGTCTTCAGGTTATTTTTTCTTCTGTGTTAAGTGTATTAAATCTTTTATCATTTGAATGAGCACACCTGAAAGGTACATGTGTTAAAGACTTGGTCCCCAGTGTAGTGCAACTGGGGGGGGGTGGTAGAACTTTGAGAGGTGAGGTGTTATGAGATATTCTTAGGTCATTGAGGGAGTGTCATTTAAGGAGATTGTGGGACCTGGCTCCTTCCTGTCATTCTTCTTCTTCATTTTTTTTTTTTTTGATCCTTGTATAAGTTTTAACTTTATTTGTTAAAACAAAGCAGGATTTTCGTCTTTCACATTGCCAATCCGCTCCCCTGACACAGCAACACTGCATATCTCACACTGACCACAAGGCTTCACTTTTGTTTCCATCAGTTTTTCCTGGATGGTTTCCTAAATGCCAAGGGGACTGGTAGAAGAGTGAAGAGGCCAGCGTTGTCATTTGGGGAGGGTAGTTCAAGGCGGCAGGCCTCAGTGAGGCTTAACTGACAGGGGCTGAGGATGGAGGAGCAGTGTTTGGGAGGCCGTCAGAGTCTCTCGACGTAGAAAGCTTTGCCCATCTGCTGTAGTTCCTGCTGGCACTGCTGATGCTTCTCAAACATCTGGCACAGGGCAGCCCGGCAGACCAGCAGCAGGTGTCAGTCAGCCAGCACCAACTCCTGCTCCATGGTGCCCTGCAGCTGTAGGACAGCATACGGGTTTCTCCTCTAGCTCAGGGTCATCTGCCACATGCAGTGAGTATGTGAATTCTGCCACCTGTCAACCATCTTCTTAAGTCTCGAGGCCCTCTGCAAGGTCTCAATGTTCACCTTTGAGATTAAGCAGCCTGAAGCAGGGTGGGTAAACTCTGACCAAAAATATGGGAAAAATTTTAAGGTAGGTCTGACAAAAACCTACTAAGAATGCCATCTGAATTTAAATCCACAAAAAGGTGCTATTGTGGGAAAATTAAGTCTCAGCTAATGTTCTGAAAATGCCGTAAGGAAAGGTGGGGTGAGCCTCAGGAACAGGGCTCTGGCTGCTGAGCCACATGGCCCCCACGCCCCCATGCAGGGCAACTTGCAGAGGGCACTGCCTGGCTCAGTCTGCAGCGAGTCCACCCTCTGCCCCATCACAGAGTACTCTCCAGTGTGTTGTAGTTGTCCTTAAAGCTCTTCAATTCCAGAAAGAGCTTGGTGTGCTTGCTCTTCTGACTGGAGGGGAGGTATGTCACCTGGATGGTCGTAGGGGAGACCTCAGGGGACTGAGTCAGGTCTTTGGCTGCTGACTGGTGTTGTCGCTGAGAGCTCCCAATTCGTGCTTTGACCACAGTGGCCAGCTCACTCAGGGCCTCCTGATAGCGCAGGTACTCACTTTGGCCAAAGACTCCCGTGCCATAGCTGGCTGTCTCATAACCATCCAGCAGGGTGCCAATGAGGGCCTTGTGCGCACCCTTGAAAGGAGTGCTAGTGTTTCGCAGATCTAGCAAGTAGGAGCGGAAATTCTTGCCCATCAAGGAACGAGGATGCCGGCCTTCAGCATGAAATGGGATCTCAGAGGCACGGATGGCATCCAGAGCTTTCATCCTATACAGATAGTTGTAGCAACTTTGATTTCCCTGGGTTTCCAGCTGTAGCAGCCTTGTGTTATCATCTGCAAGGAGCTGTGGTTCATACTTGATATCCTGAACCCTGGATAGTCGAGTATCAATCTCCTCTTTCAAGTCCTTGGGGGCGTTGTGTCCCACAGGGACGTGAGGTCCCCTTCTAGATTTCATTGCAAAGCGCATGATTTGCCTCTTCACAAAAATAAACAGCAGTACAAATACCAGGCTCCCGTAGGGCATCACCAGCACGACATTCACACTGGACAGCCAGTTACTGCCGGACTCCATGGCCTCCCTCCCCGGGCAGAAATGCTCGGGGTCCCCGCTGCTTTGCCTCGTCAGCCCAGGCTCCGCTGAATGAACAGCGCCTGGGCTCCCTGGAGCTCCCGGGCCATTTCCTTACGGGGGAAGACCAAGTCAGACCCGGCCTGGGAGCGTCCAGCGCGGAGACGCAGAACACGCATCAGCTCAGCGGAAGCGGGGGCGGAGCATGTGTCACCTCCTGTCATTCTTCTTGCTTCCTGGCTATTGAGTTGAGTGGTTTGCTTTTCCATTCACTGACCCCATGAGTTGTCATCCTCAGTAGAGGCCCAAACTTAGGGAAATATCTGATCTTAAAGGGGAAATTCCAGGACTGTGAGCCAAGGTAATCCTTTTGCTAGGAATGGTAGGTCAGGCCTGTAATCACAGCACTTGGGAGGGTGAGGCAGAAGGATTGCAGCAAGTTTGAGGCCAACCTAGGCTACATAGTGAGTTTAAGGACAGCCTGAAGTACAAAGCGAGACCCTGTCTCAAAAAAAAAAAGCGCCTGCTTTTAATAAGTTAAATGTCTCAAGTATTTCGTTGGAGTAATGTAAAGCTGACTAATACACTTACCAAAAATTTTATTCTTTTAGAGCTTTTACTTTTTAGTTCTAGATTGGCTATTAGATTATTTTTATAGAATTTCTTTTCTGCTAACATTGACTATCTTTTTCATCTTCCTGACCATAATTTTCCTGACATATAATAATATAGTTTTTAAAGGTCTCATTGCATTAACTCCAATGACTTGGGCATATATTTGCTTCCTTTTCTTCTTTGATAACAATTATGTTTTCCTGTCTCTTCATATGTGTGATAATTTAAATTATTTTAGTACTTTTAACATTTTATTCTGTATATTACAAGTAAAGTAATCATATAAAATAAAGTTGTTTTAGTGTTACTTATGAGAAGTTTACCAAATTAAAACAAAGTGTGCATCAATAATGAACTACCTAAAGGAAAGAGATAATGTATAGAAAATACAATGAATCTTTTAGATCTAAAACGGAAAGGTTTTCACAATATATTAGTTAGTATAAAAAGTATGGTAAAGAAGAATATATTCTTAAAGAATGAACAAACAAGAAAAATTTCAGGAACCATAAACAAAAGATATATAGCCTCAGTTCTTTAATATAAAAATTACAGTCTCAAAAAAGTCTTGAGTAAGGCACCTTTTCATTCATTTACTATTTCATAAAAGTTGTACTCCTTCCTAAGCAGAAGGAGAAGGGGAAAAAGAAGGGGTAAGAAAGACAAAAAATGAGAAGAAGAGGAGGAAGGAAAAACTGAGGGAAAAGATGAGAGGAGAAAATAAAATAAGAAAATAAAATATTTGAAAACCACAGCATCAGTTGGAACTGTTATGATTTAAATCTAGCTGTCCTCCAAGAGCCTCATGCCATCATAGGTGGGGCTTTGGAAGGTGATTGACTCTGAAGGTGCTATAGCAACTGGCTGTTCAGAGGTGGGGACTGGTTAGAACAGGCTAGTCCCTGTGGTGTAAACCAGAAGAACTTTTTTTCTTTCTTTCTTCCCAGTAGCTCCTCTCTCTCTCTCTCTCTCTCTCTCTCTCTCTCCTTCCTGAATGCCATGATGTGATGTGAGCAGCATTCCTCGACCAGACCCTTCCACCATGCCTTCCTGCTTTGGAAACAGCCAAACATGTACTGAAAACATGAGCCTAAATTAACCTCTTCACCTTTCAGTTGATCATATTAGGTATTTGTGTCTCAGCAATGTAGAAGGTGACAAAGACATGAGGCTTAGTGGTTATCATCCATAACAGTCAAATTTTTCTTAGAGGCAAGGTCATTCTTTGGGAAACCATTAAAACATTTACCTTTAAATTCATTTGTTTAATAATAAACTTCATTTCTATTTCAGATTGTTTCTACTTTTATAATATATAGCCAGGTACATATTAGGTCAATTAAACCATATCTTGACTCAATTTTGCATTTAAATCAATTTTGTCATGTAGTATCTGATTTAAGTGTAGTAAAATTTTAAAAATAACATGCTGGATGAGGAGAGTGACCTCATCAAATATAAATTATATTCAATCCTTTACCAACCAATGTTTTAAAATAACCAGGTATAAATAGGCAATATGACAAAAGGTATGTTTTAGGGTGGTAAATAGTAGGGTAGCCAGTCTTCTACAGGTTTATTTTTGACTGGTGTGTCCTAAGTCCTAAAATGTGCTTTTAGGAAGATATTCCTTACCTTACATCTAGCACCTAGAAATTTTACTGAGAAGAGCTTTTCTCATTCCTAACTTTGCTGTTCCCTGAATTAGAAATCTGCTAGTTTAGCATTATAAGGTCAGAACTGACAGGTAATTGCAGTGTCTCTTTTGATTACCAACTATTAACTCTTATCTGTTGTTATTTTCCTTAAAAGAGTTTATCTTTAAATGACCTTTTGCTACTCCTGTCATGCCGCTTTGTGGATGTTGTAGATGAGGACTAGCAAAATCATTCCACTTCCTCTGAATCATTTCATCTGAAGTGCAGGGGTGTGGATAGGAGGAAAACCTAGACCATCATAACCATGAGAAAGCCTTACAAGAATATATCTACCTTAGAATGAGGTAGCTTAAATAAACTAAGGCCTAAAGTCAATGAATGGTATGATCAGCACTAAAAATAAATATCAAAATCAGGTATACTGTGAAACAGTTTTATAGCTTTATTGTGTAAAAAGTTGCATTTTGTATTAATCTTTTTATACCTTTATATGTATTAATTCTGTACCCAATTCTCAACTAAGAAAGTTAAATAAATGTGAAGAACTTAAAAGATTCATAAGAGAATATGAAACATGTTTGTACAATTATCAATTCCTTTATGATATTTTATGAGAGAGGATGAGATATAAAGTTCTTTATTGAATCTAAGTGATATTTAGACTCAAATAAATATTATTGTGTTTCTCTGCTGCTGTTTGCATTCTAGTACAGCATATTGAACCTTAGAACTCTTCATTGACTCAGCAATCTGTGGCAAAAATTTTTCTACCACTGTTAAGCAAAACACAATGTAAATGGATAGATATACTGATCTGGTAATGCTCTGAATCAGCAGACTATGTTCTGAAAGCCAAAGGCCAATGTTTTTGTAAACATGATCATAATAGCTTCAATAATGTCTCACAGAAAAAGATATGTTGAAGTCCTAACCCCTACTTCTTGTGTATGTGACTATATTTAGAAATAGGCTATTTGCAGATATAACAACATTGAGATCATTAGGATGGCCCTAATAGAATATGACTTACATCTTATGAAAAGAGGAGAAAGCTAGGTCTGGTCATTCATGCTTATAATCCCAGAACTCCAGGAAACTGAGGCAGGAGGCTCAAAAATTTGACCACAACTGGGGCAACTCAGTGACTTAGACACTGTCTCATAATAATAAATCAATAAATAGTGCTGGGATGTAGCTCAGTTCAAAAGCCCTGGGTCTTGTGTACATAAAATGTACCAATAGATGAATTTAAGGGGAAAAAAACCCTGGGTTCAATCCCTGGCACTGGGTAGGGTGCAGTGGTAGTGGAAGAGGAAAGATGCAGATAGGACATAGACACAGAGAGAATATCATGTGATGATACAGGCAGAGATTGGGTCTATAAACCAAGGGATGCCAAAAATTGCTGGCAATTCAAGAAGCTAAGAGTGAAACTTAGAATAAGTTCTTTCTTAGGACCTTAGAAAGAATGTCCCTACCAACACTTTAATTTTAGAAATCTGGCTTCTTGGACCACGAGAGGTCAAATTTCTGTTATTAAACCATTAGGGCAATACACTTTGCTAGACTAGGTGTTGTGAAGCAAATGATCAATGGACTCAAATCCAAAAGGAGAGAAGGAGGATACATTGCTGAACCTAATATCTCCTTCATTTTTGGATCAGTTTTGATTGCACAAAAATTGATCTCCTCTTGTGGGTCATATTTTCTCCTTCATTTTGTGAATTTTTTATTGGATGTTAGACATGAATTTACTATGTTAGGTGCTGGGTACTCTTTGTTTTCCTTAAGTATTTGTGAACTTTATTTTGGATAACAATTAAATTTTGTGGAAATAACATAACCATAACACGTTTGGGTTTTAAGATTAATTTTTAAGGTGGGAAAAGACCAGTGTGTAGTCTAAGGCTGATTATTCCCCACCTCTATATGTACTCTATTCAAAGCCCAATAAATTTTGAAGTTTTGTGGTTGTAAACAGGCACTATTATTGGCCATGTGAACTTTTTGAGCACTATGATTAGTAGTCCTCTTCGTAGAGTTTTTCAATGACCCCAGAAGATTTCCTCAGATGCTGTACCATCAATACTAAAGTGAATACTTGAAAAGCATCCTTTGTGAGTCTTATTGTCACTTTTGGTATAGTTTTATTCTCTTTGGTGCTCTTTCCACACAATTTGGTCTACGTATTTCCCAAGACTCCCATTGTGAGACATTAAGAGATCAATTTGTCACAATCATAAGCCCATTTCATTCCTTATTTCTCAAGGATCACTGTCATTTGTTGCCTGATATATATTTGTTACAATCCACTGTTCTACAATTTCTTGTTCTTTTACTTTCTGGATACTCCAAGAGAAACAGTAAATCTTGTCTCTATTTCCCCATTTTGAAAGGGACTGAAATTCCCCTCCTGCTTCCATGTTAAATTTTTTTTTCTGTCTAATAAGTCAATGAACACTTGAGTTATAAAAAAAGTTGCACATTTAAGTTGTGAAGAATTTAAGTTATGAAGAAAACTGATAAAATTATGCAGAGAAAAGAAATATAGGAAAAATAAGAACTCACCAAAACATGAGTTTTGCTTTTTAGAACAAAACTAATACCAATTTGACCTACTGGCATTAGCCTTGGAAGAGAGGGCTATAAATAATAATTTCCTCAAATTTGACATAAAACTAAGTCAAAGTAGCATGAAGTGAAACATAAAAATCTCAAGAGCATTAAATG